TGCAAAAAGAAAAATACCACTATATACGAACAATTCATAAAATTAGAACTTCAGAACCCGAAAAATAAATATAAAGATATAGAAATAAATTAACCCATATTCTGAGGATCATGTACCAAAAGAATGCTATAATAAAATATTAAGAGAATAATAAGAATAATATGAAAGGTTTATGGAAAGTATTAAATAGAGCTCATTAGAAATGGAGCAAAAAGCTCTGGTTTACCCTGAGTTTTTTGTGGACAAAAAAATGTTATTAATAATACCCCAGAAGTTGTGTTAATGAGTTTATGGTTTTAATGAATCTTTGTAAATGTGGGGCCGATCTGGCAGAAAAAATTAAAACCCTAGTAGAAACAGCTAAAGGGGAAGATACGGACCTCTGGAATGTCGAAAACAATAGCTCTTTCTTCTCACACAGTCGACAGAAAAATAAATAATACGATACTGTGCAAAATGTAAAAAGCAAATCCTCGACCGACTTGGAATAATATTGATATGATTATAGTAAAAAACATTATTGCAGAAATTGGAGAACCATTGACTCATCTCGTTAACTTGTCTTTTCAATCTGGTAAATTCCCAAATAAATGAAAATGGCAAAAGTTATATCATTATATAAAACTGGGGATAAACACCATTACACAAATTACAGACCTGTTTCATTGCTCTCTCAGTTTTCCAAGATCCTTGAAAAGCTTTTTACAAAAAGACTTGACAGTTTCATGGAAACACATCAGCTTTTGGACGACAGTCAATATGGATTCAGGAAAGATAGATCAACATCTATGGCACTAATGGAATTAAGTGAGGAAATAGCAAACTGCATGGACAATAAAAAACAAGCAGTGGGAATATTTATAGACTTAAAAAAAACATTTGACACCATAGATCACAATATGTTACTGATAAAAACTGGAACGATATGGCATCAGAGGGTTGGGATTAAACTGGGTGAGAGATTATTTAAGCAACAAATTGGTGAACATAAATCAGAATACATGAACATAACTTGTGGAGTACCTCAGGGGTCCGTGTTGGGTCCAAAGCTGTTCATAATATACATCAACGACATTTGCAGAGTATCAAATTTATTGAAATGTATTTGATTTGCAGATGACACTAATATTTTTTGTTTCCGGTGACAATTTGAAAGAGCTAATGGAAGTGATAACAGCAGAAATTATTAAAGTAAAACATTGGTTTGACACAAACAAATTATCATTAAATATAAGCAAAACAAAGATTATGTTATTTGGAAAACATAAAACAAATCCACAGGTGCAATTAATACTAGATAACATAAACATAGAAAGAGTATATGAAATTAAGTTCCTTGGTGTGGTTTTAGACCACAAAATCAGCTGGAAACCTCATATCACTCATGTAAAAGCAAAACTGGCTAAAACCATCGCAATTTTGGGAAAAGCCAGACACATTCTGGACTACAACTCATTGTATATTCTATATCTGATTTACTGTGTGGAGATTTGGGGAAACACGTACAAAACCAACCTACAGCCGTTATGCACATTACAAAAAAGGGCTATAAGAGTTATCAATAATGTTGGATATCTTGAACACACTAATGTATTATTTTTGAAGTCACACATATTGAAGTTCATTGAACTGGTTAAATTTAAAACGGCACAAATCATGTACAGAGCAAGACATCATCTACTACCAAGGAAATTAAAAACATTGTTCGTAGACAGAGAGGGTGGGTATAATTTGAAAGGAAATCTACATTTTAAACAACTCAAGGTCAGAACAACTCTGAGAAGTATGAGTATAACAATCTGTGGGGTGATTTTATGGAATAGTTTGGAGCAGGAGTTAAAACAAAGCACAACCATAATTCAGTTTAAAAGGATGTTCAGAATTACTTTTTTGAAAAACTATGAGAATGAAGAGAGGTGATTGAAGATGAGAAATTATTGTAAATGTATGTATAAATGTAAAGATGTGAGTAGAAATAACTTGCAGAAATGATTTAAAGGATAATCATCGATTAGCAGTAAGTAAGGGGTGGGAATTAATAAGCATTTGCTTCCTCCAGCTCCATTTCGGACACATATGATTTATTATTATTATTATTATTAATATTTGTGTTGAATATATACATATTATTATGAATATTGATAAATACTGTATTCTAACAATACGGTATTCTGTTTTTCACATTTATTATTATTATTATTTTTTTTAATCTGTTCGAAATAAAGATGGAAATGAAATGAAATCATTGCCCAGCCTACAGAATATATTCACTCCTGTTTCAGGTCTAGTTTTGTATGCAGGGCTGTAGTTTTGTGGAGCTGCAGTGTTTATACCTAAACTGTATATCTACTACCACTTGACAACTTTACTGTTAATTGAACCAAAGTTGTCTGATCTGAGAGCATCCACCGCACACACATACACAATTTACCCTATTAATTAAAGCGTCTCTGCTACTCTTATAACACCTGATCACAATGACTGATGTGTACTATTTGAATTGACTAATAATGAGCAACCCAACGCTTCATGTCAACCGTTGCATCTTTCTGTATTTGCAGCTATTTGTTGTCAACTTGGTGGAGATGTTTTCTAAGTTAGTAGTGCGATGAGCTCTCAGGGTCACCATGTTTTTTCTCTGTATGATATATTTCTCTGTCTGCACACGACACAGACCTCAGTTTGTGCTAACGACTGGATCCTGGCTCTGCACCAAATCCTGCTCATCCTACTGATCATAGGGAAGTGGCTGCTGCCGGCCGCTGGAGAGCTGACCAGAGACCAGCTCTCCCAGTTACTGCTCATCTTCGTGGGCACCGCCGCCGACATACTGGAGTTCACCTCGGAAACACTGACTGACATGAAGTGAGTAACAGGACAGAGGAGAGCAGGGAAGGTGTTGACTTGTTGACTTAACATCGATGTGAAATCAAACCTGTGTGTGTGTGTGTGTGTGTGTGTGTGTGTGTGTGTGTGTGTGTGTGTGTGTGTGTGTGTGTGTGTGTGTGTGTGTGTGTGTGTGTGTGTGTGTGTGG